GTAGCCCTGGCTGTCGTGGAACTTTTTAAGTAGACCAGGCTGGCCTCAGACTCAGGAGATCAGCCTGCCTCTGCCTCCTGAGTGCAGGGATAAAAGGCATGCACCACTGCTCCAGACACCCTCAGTGTTCCTTTCTTGGCTGCTTTTTTTTTTTTTTTTTTTTTTAAATTTATTTATTTATTATGTATACAGAAGAGGGCGCCAGATCTCATTACAGATGGTTGTGAGCCACCATGTGGTTGCTGGGAATTGAACTCAGGACCTCTGGAAATGTAGTCAGTGCTCTTAACCTCTGAGCCATCTCTCCAGCCCTTTTTTTTTTTTTTTTTTTTTTTTTTTTTTTTAAAGGTTGAGGCATCATTAATTTTCCACTTCCAGGTCAGCATGTCCATCCATGTTCTCCTTGTTCAGGTCCTCTGTGGGCAGCCATGTTGATGACTCTGCAGTAGGGTAGCAAACGATTGATTTTATGAGAAGGATCCTCTTTAATACAGGGGTTGGGGCATTTGTAAATGATCAACTCTTCATCCAAATACATTTTTTTTTTTTTTTTTGGTTTTTCGAGACAGAGTTTCTCTGTGTAGCTTTGCGCCTTTCCTGGGACTCACTTGGTAGCCCAGGCTGGCCTCGAACTCACAGAGATCCGCCTGGCTCTGCCTCCCGAGTGCTGGGATTAAAGGCGTGCGCCAACACCGCCCAGCTCAAATACATTTTTTTTAATGGAACATGACAGGTTTTTGTATAAAGGTTGGGAATTTTTTGTTTGGTTGGTTGTTTTTAGAGGATTGACTCTACATGAAATAGATTGGCATTTTATCCAAATGATGAACATTTTTATACAGGTTAATATTTGTTTAAGGACTGACTTTAACTCCACGAAGTATTGATTGACATGCATGCTAATTAAGCCAACTAAAAGTTTTAAGCCCTTTTTATTGATGGCCTGATAAATAGTAGTTTTGTGCCTCTGAAAAATCTGTTAGAACTCCCAGAGCTCAGAGCAGCCCTTGGCTGTGGATCTTTGCATCTGCTTCCATCAGTTACTGGATGAGGCTCTGATGACAATAAGGTCATCACTAATCTGATTACAGGAAAAGGCCAGTCCAGGCACCCTCTTCACTACTGCTTGGAGTCTTAGCTGCGATTATGCTGTGAACTCTTGGCAGTTTCCCTGGTCCCGGATTTTTCCCTATCCCCTAAATGCCCACCCATCTAGACATCTGTTTCATTGCTCTCTCCTCTGTCAGCCCCCAACCCATCCTACCCAATCCCTCATGTGCCCACTCCCCGACCACAGTTTACCAAGAAGATCTCTTCTATTTCCCCTTCCCAGGGAAATCCATGTGTCTCTCTTTGGTCCTACCTCCTTGTTACCTAGCCTGTCTGGGACTGTGAACTGTAGCCTGGTTATCCTTTACTTTACATCTAATATCACTCAAGAGTGAGTACATACCATGTTTGTCTTTCTGGGTCTGGGTTACCTCACTCCCCAATACTGCAACCCCCTCCTTGACATCATTAGACAACTATTCTCCACACGTTTTACCCAGCTACTCTCATGTGATAGGAACAAAACAGTCTCATGGATCTGCCAAATCTAGACTCCTCCAATGAGAGACACTGGATATCTGTCATCCGGAGACTTGGTCATCCACTTGGTATGGTTCTCTCCAGGTGCAAGCATCTTTCTGCAGACCAGATGACGTCATTCTTCTTGGTGAAGGACAACAATCCTTTCGTGTCTGGTCCCAACACACTCTTCTCTCCATCTCTCTTTGCTGGATACTTTCCATGGTTATGTCACTCAGCTTTGGTCAGCAGGGCTGCAAAGGACATGATCACCCTAGGAAGAGAAAACAGATAAGATCTCCTGGTTAAATTGGGATTGTTGGAGGGGGGAGAGGAGGTGGGCGGAGAACATGAGGGAACAGGGTGGTCCAGTTGGAGGAGGAACAGAGTGGGAGGACACGGAAAGAGACATCTTGATAAGGGAGACATCATGGTGTTAGGGAGAAACCTGGTGCTAGGGAAATTCCCAGGAATCCACAAGGATGACCCCAGCTAAAGACTCCTAGCAATAGTGGAGAGGGTGCCTGAACTGGCCTTCTGTAATCAGATCAATGACTACCCTAATTGTCATCATAAACCTTTATCCAGTAACAATGAAACAGATGCAGAGATCCACAGCCAAGTACTGGACTGAGCTCCTGGGGTCCAGTTGAAGAGGGGGAGGAGGGATTTTATCAGTAAGGGGGAGTGGTCAAGATCATGATGGGGAAACCCACAAAGAGAACTGATCCTAACTAGTAGGAGCTCACAGACTTTGAACTGACAGCTGGTGAACCTGCAAGGGACCAAGCTAGGCCCTCTGAATGTGGGTGACAGTTGTGTGGCTTGGGTAGTTTGTGGGGCCACTAGCAATGGGACCAGGATTTATCCCTAGTGCATGAACTGGCTTTTTGGAGTCAATTCCCTATGGAGGGATGCCTTGCTCAGCCTTGATGCAGAGGGGAGGGGCTTGGTTCTGCCTTAAAGGATATGCTGGGCTCTCTTGACTTCCCACTCTCTGAGGAGTGCATGGGGGAGGGGAAGTTAGGGGTGAGCCAGAGGAGGGGAAGAGGGGAGGGAGAGGGAACTGTGGTTGGTATGCAAAATAAAAAAAATAAATAAAACACTTTTAAATACAAAAGGTAATTTAAAAAAGGAGGCATGCTGAGCAGAGAAGCAGACCTCTGATTCCTGCCCTATTTGAGTTCCTGTCCTGACTTCCTTCAGTGGTGAGCAGTGTCAAATAAACCCCTTCCTCCTGAAATAAATAAAATGAAACAGAATGCTAACAACAATTAAAAAGAAACCTGATGCAGCTTGATTGGAACATTAATAACTGTAAAGGCACATAGAAAGGACTACACTGTTATGTGAACTATACATTAAAAACCATAATGCAGGTTATATTTACTAATATTTATATAAATAAAAATATACATGCAATAGCAGTAACTGAAAAAATTGCTTTGAATTTGAAGGAGAGCATGGATGAGTAATTGGGAGGGTCTGGCAGGAGGAAAAAGGTGGGAGAAATGTCTTTACTAAATAATAATCTCAAAAATGAACAAAAACACATAAATGTGACTAGAAACTGGCTATACACAGGTACAGCCTTATGTGCGTTATATGAGGAAAAATTATGATGGCAGGGCTGGAGTGATGGCTCAGTTTAAGAGCACTGGCTGCTCTTCCAGAGGTCCTGAGTTCAATTCCCAGCAACCACATGGTGGCTCACAACCATCTACAAGGAGATGTGGTGCCCTCTCTTGGCCAGTATACACACATGCAGGCAGAACACTGTATACATTATATATATACTATGATGGCAAATAAAAACCTACCACAGTGTTTGGCACATCATAGAGTTGAAACGTTCTAATTCGCACAGACGCCGGCTGCATGCTGTGCAAAATATGTGTGAAAGAAAGGCGTTTCACACAGAAAGAAAAATTTGTATTACCTAGAAAACCGTAGTTCTGGGGTCTCAGGGAGCCCTGCGGTGAACCAAAAGGAACCTGGCTTTTGGCCAGGACTTCCTCCTTGGCCTTGGATCCCGCTGTGCCCCCCACCAGTGTGGACCAACGGGAGGGCAGAATAACTCTAGACCTGGATAGGCCAGCTGTGGGACAAGTGCACGCCGGGGATGTAGTCCTGGGGCGACTGCAGAAACTCCTGCGGGTCACAGACCAGCTCTGACAGCACCACTTTGGAGCAGTGGACCGTGAGGTACCCAAAAAATGTGAGCTCGAGGACAGGAACGCAGCGCGGTGGAGATTGGGGCAGGCAGCGATTTTGTTTTCTTACTAGGGTCCGCGGGTGGGGTGAGGTAGATGCCTCGGAACACTAGTCAGGCTGAAAATGTGGTGTTTGCGGACGGCAATCAGCACAAAGTTCGCAAATCAAAGAAATCAGACGGATTTTCCTCGTTTAGAAACGAGGGAGAGTGGAGAGGACGCGAAAACAAACGGAAGCCCGGCGTCCTGACCGCGCCTGGTGCACAGTGGCAGCGGGGTACCAACCGTTTTGTCCAACCATCCGGCCCACACCATCCGGACCCGAGTTCGTGCCGAATCCCACCACAGCCTGCCTGGCAGATCCTGATTATGGCCGCAAAAGGAAAGCACTTGAGGAACAAAATCGCGTAGGTGGTTTGAGCTCTCGTCAGCCAATAGGAACTTAGCTTGCCCGACAAGTCTCGAACCCAAAGAGCAGACGCTGACCACCGGGAATAGCCGCGAAGCAGAATGCTGGTCCCTCAGTAACCCCTGCGGTGACAAGGTCGCCAGCCTGCAGCCTCCAGGCCAAGCTGAAGATCTGAGAATGAAGGATTTGTCTTCTGTCTCGGACTTGTTCATTGGCTCCGGCTCTGGCTACGCCCGCTCACCGGCGTGGAAAAGCCGGCGGGTAGGACGCTCACTTGCCCAGGATCCCAAGGCTCTGCAAATCCCAGGGTCCCCTTGGCTACTGAAGAAGGAAGGCCAGCCAAGACAGCACCGCCTAGTACCCTGGACCCAGCTGTCCCCTAATCCTGAAATCCTAAAGCCAAACCCGGCTTCTCATTACAGGTTGTCTCACGGTTGCCTTCATCCCAACCTTTCCATGAATCCTAGAAACCGGCGATCCGGATTGCAATCAGTGCCTTTAAAAACTGTCCGTAACAAAGCAGGAAATTATCTATGAAATCAATTATTAAACAAGTAAGAATTAACACGACCGGCAGGAAAATTTAATTAATTAATTAAAAAGAATTGACACAAGGCCGGGCCGTGGTGGCGCACGCCTTTAATCCCAGCACTCGGGAGGCAGAGGCAGGCAGATCTTTGTGAGTTCGAGGCCAGCCTGGTATACAGAGCGAGATCCAGGAAAGGCACAAAGCTAAACAGAGAAACCCTGTCTCGAAAAACCTTAAAAAAAAAAAAAAAAAAAAAAAGGAAAAGAAATGACACAGACAATCGAAGGTGCATCGCTGTGTGTTTATTTTGGAGGCAGCAGGCTGTACTGAAGACAGCCCGCTGCAGTGAATGAAGAGGATTAGGAGCCGATCCTTATGGTACAGCGCTCACTCTAAAACACTGAAAGGCGTCTGCATCTCGCTAAGGCTTCCTGCTGCAAAACACCGGTACACAGCAGCCCTAGAGCTCCGCAGCGGACTCGACCAGGGATGCGCTCCAGGAGGCCGAGCCAAACCCCCAGTCTTCTCTCCCAATTCCGTTTGACAGGCGGCCTGCACTCCCGGGTGCTCCTGTGTCTGTGTCGCCTAGCTCGTCGCCACGGTGGGCGCTCTGGAACAAGGTCCGCGCTTCATCTCCACCGTGATCCGTTCTCCTGCAGGGTCCTTCCGAGTTCCCGGAGTCTCGGGTTTCTCCTGTCTCTTCTGGAAGGCGCTCAGGGATTCAAGCTTGCTGGGCGGAAAAAAATGAGTTTGCCGACTGCAGTCGGCACACAATCCGCTAACGAAAGAAATCGGAAGAATTTCCACCGATTAGAAACGACGGCGAGCTGAGAGTATAGGACTGGAAAACGAACCGAAACCGTGGCGTCCTGACCGCACCGGGTGTGCGCTCGCACCGGGACGCCAAACGTTTTGCTAAAGCCTTCTGGATCATAGTTCGTGGTTCTAGTCGATTCCCGCCGCATGCTGTCTGGCAGAGCCTGATTCCGGCCGCAATACGAAAGGACCTAGGAAGAAAATGACGGACGCGGTTTGAAATCGCAGACGGACTGCAGCCCGGGCGTGCTGGCAGCCGATCGGAAGTCGGCTCGTGGGAGGAATCGCAGACACTTGACAATCAAGAAATACCGGTCTACAGTCCGGAAAACTGCAAGTTAAGGCTCTGAGCATCCGGAATAGCCGCGGGACTGAATGCTGGCTCCACAGCGTCCTCTGCTGGCCCCTGTGGTGAAGAAACAGCCCGCCAGCAGTTTCAGGGCTGGGTGTCCAAGCCTGAGGCGGTTTGACATCCTCACTGGCCTGGGTTCCAGCCAAGCCCTTCCACCTTCAGGGAGAGGAGGGAGGGTTTGGTTTCCACACACCTGCTGAAGACTTCAAGGCTGGCACAAACCTTGAGTTTGGGCCTGAGAAGTTGTCATGCGTCTTTCCCCACGTTGTATTCCACCACGCAGAAGATCCTTATGTGTTCCATAAAAGGACCAGGTGTAAGTCAGCTGTTCAGATCTGAAACCACGTAGAAGGCACTGGTTTGGTGACCTGGACAGTGCACTTCCTTGAATGTGTTGGCCCATCTTTAGCAGCTGAGCTTCGACTGTCTGTGCAAGCACCGAAAGGGAGGGAAACACCATGGTCCAGCTCAGCCTGACTCTGAGGTGCCTGAAAGTAGGCAGGGTTATGTGTCTCAGTGAAAGTGGAATCAGCACTCTCCTTCTCAGGCTGAGAATCAGATGGTTCCTCACAGCCTTCTGTAACTTCATCTCCACGGGATCCAATGCCTGTGCCCTTCATGGGACACCCATTGGAATGTGCACATACCTAAACACCAACACACACAATTTAAAATAATGTATATTTTCTCCAAAACTTGTCAAGTTGGTGTCACCTGTGATGCTACCGACAAGATAGATACCCATCCAGCCTGCAGGTGTGAGTCGACTGGAGAAACTTGTGGACCTGATGGAGCTTTGGGGATAAGGAAGAGGAATCCGGCAACTACACTTTGGAGCCACAGAAGGTAAAGATCTGAAACCCACAGTGAAGATGGAGTGGTTCTAAAACCCAGACAACTTCATATTCCTATGGAGCTTCCATGCTGCTGGTGAGCGGGTCAAACCACAGACCACCTATTGCTGTGACAATGTGACTGTGCAGCTGGCATGCACCTACCCAGAAAGCTAGACCTTCAGGCTCAGGGGAAATTCCTATAACAGACCACCAGGGGGAGGATTCAGGAGAAAAACCATGCACAGAATTGGCATACAGGTCTTTGGCCAGAGAGCTGTAAGCCACAGACACAAGGAAGCTGGACCAAGTCTGTCCTCACTTTGTGGTTGACCTCCAGACCCTGGACAAAGTCAAGCACAGCAGTTGCTTTAAGAAACTTGTGTTGGCTGGGCAGTGATGGCGCTCAACTTTAATCCCAGCACTGGGGAGGCAGAGGCATCCGGCTCGGTGAGTTCAAGGCCATCCTGGTCTCCAAAGCGATTTCCAGGAAAGGCACAAAGCTACACAGAGAAACACTTTCTGGAAAACAAAAACAAAACAAACAAACAAAACCCGCCCCACATTGACACACTTCCTCCAACAAGGCTACACCTCCTAAGGTGCCATGCCCTTTGGGGAGCCATAAAAAAAAGGGGGCTGGAGAGATGGCTAAGAGGTTAAGAGCACTGTGTACTCTTCCAGAGGTCCTGAGTTCAATTCCCACCAACCACATGGTGGCTCACAACCATCTGTAAGGAGATCTGGTGCCCTCTTCTGGCCTGCAGTCATACATGGTGTATACATAATAAATAAATAAATCAAAAAGAAAGAAAGAAAGAAAGAAAGAAAGAAAGAAAGAAAGAAAGGGAGGAATGAAGAAAGAAAGAAAGAAACTTGTGTTGATGGCTCAGTGGCCAAGAACTCAGGACCATAATGTATTCCTAGAACCCACAAGGAATAACTCCAGTTCCAGGGACTCCAACACCCTCTTCTGACTTCCTCCTGTACTAGGCGCACATAAGATGCATAGACATGCATCCAAGCAAAATACTCACACACATAAATAAAGAAACCTGTGCTGGGGGCTGGAGAGATGGTTCAGATAGTTAGGAGTACTTGTTCTTGTAGAAGACACAGGTTAGGTCCCCACATGCATATGTGCGGGCACAAAAAACACCCATACACATAAAATAAATTTTAAAATAATGACTTAAAGTAAGAAAGCCTACCAGAGTGGTGCCACAGGCCTTTAATCCAGCACTCAGGAGGCAGAGGCAGGTGGATCTCTGAGTTCAAGGACAGCCTGGTCTAAAGAGCAAGTTCCAGGACAACCGGGTTACACAGAGAAACCAATACTCCTCTCCACAAGAAAGTATGCGTCCTCACCAGGCCTCATCTTTCCATGAGAACTACAGACTGCATCTAGAGGAGAATCTTATTTCCCAGGGACAAACTATAGGTTATCCAATTCCAAGTAGCTACAAGTTTTGTTACTTAGTTCATTTCTTTTTATGGCTGCAAAACAACACATGAAAATAATTATCCTAAACACAGGACAGGCTGGGCAGTTGTGGTGCACACCTTCAATCCTAGTACCTGAGAGACAGAGCCAGTTGGAGCTCAGTAAGTTCGAGGCCAGCCTGGTCTACAGAGCAAGATCCAGGACAAACACCAAAACAACACAGAGGAACCCTGTCTCGAAAAATAAAATAAACACAGGACAGACCTAACTGCAAACAGGTGTACCTAGTAAAACCCAACTTAGAACTTTTTATCCACCACTCTGAGATGTCAGAGAGGCTGAGACCGAAACCACCAAAGGTGAAATTTGTCATAAGGACAAAGCTGGGATAACAGACACCTTTAATCCAGACCCGGACTCTAAAGACTTGCCTTTAGTGCAGATCTCCAGGCAGGAGGACACACCCTTAATCTGGGCCACAGCTTCTGCTGGGAGCCTATATAAGAACAGGGAAGAGGGAAGCTTTTCACTCTGCCCTCTGCCTGCTCACTCTCACAGTGCTAGCCAGTCTATTACTACCCTGGCATCAGAGCTTACTTCTTTAGGATTCCAGGAATTACTGAAGACCTGCTGAGATCCATCCTGGTGGACTGAGCAACTTCTGGACTCTGGGTCTTTCAGTTCACAGTCAGCTGTTGTGAAGTTAGTTGAACCACAGCCTGTAAGTCATTCTCATAAATGCAATATATAGATATAGATAATCACATCAGGGATGATAGGATTTTGCTTTTGAGAATTTTTACTCTTTTTTGTTTTGTTTTCATTTTTTATTTGTTTGTCTTTCAAGACAGGGTTTCCCTATGTAGCCAAGGCTGTCCTGGAACTATCTCTGTAGACCAGGGTGGTCTTGAACTCAGAGATCCGGCCACCCAGAACTGGGATTAAAGGTGTTCAGGACCAGGACCTTCAGAATCTTCACTCCTTATCCAATGCAAGTAACTGCTGGGAATATGAACTTATATCCCAGCATCCTGCAGTGTAATGATTGGGAGGGGTCTAGAAGTTAGAGGATAAAAAGATAACTGACTTCTGAAACAGATGCTCAAGGAATTGTCCTCTGTGTTATACAGGTAAAGCCAAGTCCACAGAGCAGTTCCATCCAGTTTTGTGGAAGATATGTCTATTCTTCACAGCACACCTCGAAGGACACTTGTCTTGCCAGCCCTGAGTCCCCGGTATTCCATGTCCTGGTCACTGTGTTACTTAGGAGAGCCAAGCCACTGCTTTGAGGAGGGTTGGTCTGTTGAGTGTGAACTATTTTCTCTTCCCTGTGGACTTGATTGCTGGGACTGCCTCAGATACCACCCCAGACCAAACAGTGCCATGAAGAGGGGTGCAGATGTCTTCCAGAGTGAGAGTCAGAAGAAGCCACAAATGTCCCCAGGAGAGGTGGACAAGGACAAAGACAGCAACGTGGAGGAGCCAGACCAACCCTCCACAGGCTTGCTCAGCATCTGGAAGAAAGGACAGGAACTTGAGACCTGTGATGGTGGAGACTACCCTGAGCTTGATCCTGCTTCTGACCATCCCAGGAGCCTAAGCTGCTGGCCATGGCTTCAAAGGGCTTTTGACCAGATGGGCAAGAACCGAAAGAATCTCGGGAGACCTGATTCCTGCTAAGACTTGCAATTAGGGGGTCCTCCCTCAGCTCCAGCTGTTACAGCAACACCCCTACCTCTGCTCACATGCAAAGGCAGTTTTTGTCTTTGCAGATGTCTGTGTTAATTTTTTTCATTTTTCTTAATAAAATACTAAACACCTGGAAATCTGTGTTGTTCTTGGGGTGCCCTAGGGGAAAGGTGAAGGGTGGAGTGGATGCAGAGGAGGATGCACTACTGTTTTCCCATGTTGCTCACAGGTCAAACTTTGGTTCTTCTTTTTAAAAGAAGTCCTCCAGGGACCTTGGTAGGCATCCCCAGGAGAGAGGTACAAATCATGAAACCTTTCTGTGGAAGGGCGGAATTTTCTAGCCTGCGCTATCCAACCTGTACCTCGGCTGCCCCCTAGTGGAGAACACTCAGAGATCCAGCCGCCCCTGGTTGTGCTTTCCGGGAGCTGGGATTAAAGGTGTGCAGCACCAGGACCTTCAGAATCGTCAGTCCTTATCGAATGCAAATAACTGCTGTGAATATGAACTTATACCCCAGCATCCTGCCGTGTAATGGAAGGGTGGAGTGGACACCCATGAGGATGCACAGCTGTTTTCCTATGTTCGTCACAGGAGAAACTTTCGTTGATGTTTTTAAATAAAAGTCCTCCAGAGGGGCTGGAGAGATTTCTCAGAGGTTAAGAGCACTGACTGTTCTTCCAGAGGCCCTGAGTTCAATTCCCAGCAACCACATGGAGGCTCACAACCATCTGTAATGAGATCTGGTGCCCTCTTCTGGCCTGCAGTCATACATGCTGTATACATAATAAATAAATATATCTTTGAAAAAAAAAAGTCCTCCAGGGATCTTGGTAGGCATCACTAGGAAAAGGCACAAAGGATGAAACCTTGTTATGAAACCTGCTTTAGAGGAAAAATGTGAGCCTGAGCGATCCAGCCTGAACCTCGGCTGCCATCTAGTGGAGAACTCTTGTAACCTCTGCGGGTTCAGTTCCCCTGACAGGGGACGCTAGCTTTGCATCTTGGCTTCTGTAACAGTAAGATAACACAGGAGCAAGGAGCTCATGGGGAGTCTCAAGAAAATCCACAGTGGGTGTTGGATGGATGGATGGATGGATGGATGGATGGATGGATGGATGGATGGATGGATGGATAGATGGATGGATGAAGAATGGAAGGATAAATAAATAAATATAAAAATGTAGGGAAGTTGATGGATGAAGAATGGAAGGATAAATAAATAAATATAAAAATGTAGGGAAGTTGACTCAACAAACACAAACACTTACCTATCCCCTTAAAATCCAACCTTGATCCTCCAACACCCATGGTGGAAGGAGTGCTGACTCTTGGTGTTTGTTCCCCGACCCCCACAGGGAGCTGTGGCTCTAGAATGCCTGAAATCACGCGCACATCATGAGTAACACACACAAATAAGACAGAAAAGATGCTGGGCGGTTGTGGATCATTCCTGTAATGCCAGCACTCTGGAGGCAGAGGCAGGTGGATATCTGAGTCCCAGGCCAGCCAGGTCTACAGAGTGAGTTCCAGGACAGACAAGACTACACAGAGAAACCCTGTCTCGAAAAAAACTAACTAAAACATTTAAATAAAGATGAGTGATAAACATTTCAAAATCCAATAATACTGAAGAAAATACAACATCACTCTGGAGCAAATATATCCAATTATTTTTTTCTCAAAAAATAAAATATAGTCAGGCATGGTGGCCCATGCCTTTAATCCCAGCACTCTGGAGACAGAGCCTGGGGGGATCTCTGAGTTAGAGGCCAGCCTAGACTACATAGGAGTTCCAGGACAACCAGGGTTTCATGGAAAGACCCTGTCTCAAAACAAACAAACAAACACCCAGGTGGAGGGGAAATTTCTGGCAGCCATGAAGCACATCATATAAGATTACTTTTTCATATCTAACATGTGTTTCCATCTAACCCAAAACTTCCTTTAAAAGCAATGTTCTAGCCGGGCGGTGGTGGCGCACGCCTTTAATCCCAGCACTCGGGAGGCAGAGCCAGGCGGATCTCTGTGAGTTTGAGGCCAGGCTGGACTACCAAGTGAGTTCCAGGAAAGGTGCAAAGCTACACAGAGAAACCCTGTCTCGAAGAAAAAAAAAAAAAAAAAAAAAAAAAGCAATGTTCTAGAGTAAACCATTATCTGTTTTGCTTACATTTCCCAGTAGCCAACATTCCTGAGTTCTTTGTGACTGAGAGATCACTGACTAAAGAGTCGGGAAACCCACAATGGGCCATCCAGGGATGCTCTGGAGAGTCTGTCTTTTTTTTTTTTTTTTTTTTTGTAATTGAAAATAATGTGGGTTTGTTTTTTTTTTTTTGTTTTTCGAGACAGGGTTTCTCTGTGTAGTTTTGCGCCTTTCCTGGAACTTGCTTTGGAGACCAGGCTGGAAAATAATGTTTTTAATACATAGATTCTGATCATGTTTTCCTCTCCCTCACACAAACCAGAATAAGACAAAACAAACAAAATAAAAACAAAGAAAACCACCAGAAACACACACACACACACCCCTCATAAAAACACAAAATCAGAACCCATAATGTCTAAGCAAAAGACCAGTAATGTATAAAAGAAAATCCCAAAGCATTATGAGACAAAAAGTCTTCAAAAATACCACTGAGTACATTTCTGTGGGCCATCTGTTATTGCACATGGAGGCTGCCCTGAGTGGTACCCGAAGTTCTAAGGCTGGTAGAGCAAACAACAGATGCCCAAACATTCAGGTTACCCTCAGGGTCAAGCCCTTGCTGAACAGGACTTTGGTTGCTAGGGAAATAGTGCCTCCAAGTGGCAACTGTGAAAACCTTAGATCCAGCAAAGGAAATCCTCAAATGCCTGCAGCATGGGAGAGACTTTCTGATGGCCTCTCATCGGGCAGAGGATTTGCATCAAGAAGACACCAAGAACCTGGAGTTTTAAGGAAGAAAATACCAACCACCAAAAGTCCTGACAAAGTGAACACCCCCTTCCCAGAGCCCGAAGTGCAAGTGCCAATTGGCATGGGGGAAGTGTTCATCCTTGCTATTCAGCTGAAGGAGGCACTGACACCCTCTGAGATTCCATCTTATCTCAGACAGAATGACAGTCACCAAGAAATCAGAGGAAAACACATCCTGGGAGTGGGAGGAAGGTGAGGAGGGGGTGTGGAGAACTGGGAACTCTTGCAGACTGTTGGTGTGAAAGTTAAACTACTCTGGTCTCTAGGAAGATCCTCAAAAAAAAAACTGAAAAAAAAGGGACCTTCCATGGAAGCCAGCCTTATCAGTTTTTGGTATTTATAGGCCCTAGAGAAATTTGCACATCAGTGTTTCTTACAGTCCTGTTGACAACAGCTTGGTGATGGAACCCACCAAGACATCCCATAATGGAGAGAAGGGCAAAGAAAGGTTCTGAAAAGTTTAGGACAGTGGTTCTAACTTTCCTAATCCTGTGGCCCTTAAATACAATTTCTAATGCTGTGGTGACCTCCGGCCATGAAATTATTTCCAATGCTTCTTCATAACTGTAATTTTGCTACTGTTATGAGTTGTCATGTAACCATCTGTGTTTTCCCAATGTCTTGGCGATCTCTGTGAAAGGGTCATTCGACCCCCAAAGAGGGTATGACCTACAGATTGAGAAACACTGCCTTAGGAACTAGAGCCTTGTGGGAGGAATTGGAGGACTCTGGAGAGAAGTCATGCCTTGAGGTTTGATAGCCTGGACCCACTTCTTGTTCCATCTCTACTTCTCAGATGCTCATGCAGTGTGACCAACTGACCTCTTATTCCTTCTGCTGTGCCTGCCCTGCTTGGATGGACCACATCCCACAGGATCTCTCAGCCGTTATAAGCCCATCTTTCTATTAGGAAAGAAAAACAAATGAAGACATTACACCTTGAAAACACAATTACGAATGTTCTTGACACTGACTCTGTTTCTACTAGTCATGGAACCAGCAAGTGATCACCTGGGAACTTGCTGGTGTTTCTGTCCTTAGAGAGCTGCAGGAAAGATCCAGGTACCCCAGATGTGGTGGTCTGCCCACTGCACTCACCAACCCATGCAACCTGATTCCTCCTGATAGAGCCTCAGCTCAAGATGTGTGTCATTTATTTATAAATTCATTGATCCGTTCATTCATTAACTCATTTCAGAGTGTTTTATTTACTGGAATGACATGTGGTTGCAATATATAATTTCATGCAATTATATACTTCTCTCTTGGCCTATTCCATCCACCATGTTCCAATGCCCTCTGATTCCACAAACCTACCTTCTCCCTTTAGGCCACTCTGTTCTCCACGAAGTTTCTCCAGATGCCCCATGTCTTCAGAACCTGCTGTATTCCATGTGTGTGGCACACGTAGGAGGAGCCACATCTGAGAGACCTGCGGGACCTGCCGTTCTGAGGCTGACTTCTTTCAATCAGTGTGATTATCTCCAGTTGAGTCCATCTCCCTGCCAACCCCACAGTGACATTCTTCTCTGTGGATGAAAATAAATTCATTGTGGGTATAAAACATCCCTTCTTTGCCCATCTCTCCGTCTGGGCTGGTTCCCTCACTAAGTTGTTGTGAACAGGGCTTTAAGGGCTCCTTCACCCGCCCCTCCCCCAGCCTCAGTTCTCCCTGGCTTTCTTGATGGCCCCCACTGCCGTTCTGACTGGGATAAGATGGATCTCAGAGTGGGTTAGTGCCTGCTCAGCTGCCTAGCAGGGATGAACACTTCCCCCATGCCGACTGGCATTTGCCCTCCAGGCTCTGAGAACTCACTATTGTTCACTTGGGTTGGTTGGGAGGTTTGGTGTTTTCTTCCTTAAAACTCTGTGCGTTCTTAGTGTCTCAAAGACGGGAAACCTCTGCCAGATGAGAGGCCATCAGAAAGTCTCTCCCATGCTGCAGGCATATGAGCATTTCCTTTGCTGGGGCTAAGGTTTTCACAGTTGCCAGCTGGAGGCACTATTTCCTTAGCAACCAGAGTCCTGTTCAGCAAGTGACTGCCCCTGAGGGTAACCTGAAGTGTTTTGGGTGCTTTCTTGTCCACCAGCTTTAGACCTTTGACTATCATAGCCAGGTCAGATTCATGTGACCTGTTGTCCCTACAGGGTCACAGAGGAAGGAAATCTTTTCTGTTTGTTTCTTTGTTTGTTTCCGGTTTCTCTGGTAACAGCCCTGGCTGTTCTAGAACTCACTTTGTAGACCAGCCTGGCCTCGAAATCACAGTGATCTGTCTGCCTTTGCTTCTGAGTACTGGGATTAAAGGTGTGTGGCACCACACTCAGCTCAGAGAGAGGAATTCTACTTGTGGCCATCCAGTTTTGCAAGGACCCTATATTGAAGGTATTGTCATTTCTCAAAATTTTATTATTTGCATCTTGGTGAAATCTCAGGTGTTGCTTCTGGCATGGGTTTGTTTACAGAATCTCAGGTGTGACCCATCTATCCACATACCAGGTTGTCAATAGACTGAGTGCTGTTTCTATGACTATGGCTCTGTGAGACTCCCAGAAATCAGGTGTGGTAACACATCCTGTATTGTTTCTTTTAGGAAAAGTTTGGCTATCCTGGGTCTTTTGTGACTCTATGTGAATTCAAATGTTTAAGAAAATAGCCAAGGAATCTGGCTGGGTGGCTGTGGCTGGCCTTGATCCTGGCTGTGCTAAAGTGACTGTCTTGGAATCTGCAGCCTCCCTCTCCCTGCCTGCACCATCCCAGCCCCATCCCAGCCAGCTCTGCTCTGGAAGTAACATTCTTAAACATGAAACAAACTAAACATTGATCAGGAACAGAGAGGCAGTCGCCAGTCTGTATTTTTTCTTAAATGGAGGCATTCGCTAAGGAAGCAGGCTTGCACAGAGCTGTAGCCCCAAAGTGTCTAACTCAACGGTCCCCGGGTGGGTGCCAAACGCTGAAGTGGGCAGCAGGCAGGAGGGCACTGAGGTATGAATCCACGCCAGGAGGAATAGAAAGGGGTGGAGGGTTTGTCTTCTCCCTCTATTGGGAGAGGCAGGCCAAGGCTCCCCTTTTGTCAGATTTATGTGAGTCCTTCAGTGGGGTGCAGGCAGAGACACCTCCTTACAGTGGACCGTGAGCCTGCATGGTGCTTCTGTGGGATCCTACCCTAGGACCAAGGCTCAATTTTCTGTCTTCCAGAACAGAAGGCAGGAGCCCAGCTGCCAGGAGAGCCTGCCAAGGCCATCGCCAGCCTGGGAAGTCCTTCCTTGCCCAATGAGCAGCCATCACTTTGATGAAAACTCTCCCAAGGGCAGGAAGCAAGACATTGACCAAGAAAGACTGCAGTGCCTCCCAGGTCAGGAAGCCAAGAGACTGAGGCATCCCAAGTCTTTTTCACAGGCACAGACCAGACATTCGAATCCATAACACAAACTCTGCTCACAGCAGGGAGGCTTGTGTAGCCATAGCATTTTACATGGCCAGCTCCCACCGTTTTTCTTGTGACAGTTTTTCAGTCTTACAAAGTTTAGGACAACAGAACTTACTTAAAGAGATTGGATAGAAAGAGGCAGAGTTGGCCTCAGCCAGCTTGCTCTCTCTCTCTCTCTCTCTCTCTCTGTCTCTCATACCATTATGGAGTGGAGCCCTGCTGACACTTCATGCCCCAGTGGTCGCCATGCCCATGAGGGGAAGGGGGACAGTAAAGGCGAGAAGAAATCGATTAAAATGTAGTCTCATTCTTAAAAACCGAAACCAAACGTTGCCACCAAAAGAAAAGGGTGAACACGCGGATTCAGAAGCACCTAGAAGGGTCCGCACTAAGGGAGGCGGCTCTAGGGAATGGCTGCGGACAGACTGTCCGGTTAAGCCGGCCCCTGGAGGACCTGGATTTCTGGGCGGAGTTCCTCTGCTGCTGCACTTGCCTTCAGCAAAGAGAAAGTGTTCCAGCTGGGCTGAAAAACTCAACTGTCAGGCTAAGCCCAAGAGCCACTGGCCGACATTTGCAGACAGAAACCAGCTCCACTGAGAACGCGCAGGCCTGGCTCTGCTGCTTCCGACCTCCTCCGGACCAGAAGGGAGTGCCTTCGCGGCCCCAGGAGCTGCAGATCTCCAGCCTAACAGAAAACCTGACTTCCAGATTGCAGCCATCTTTAGCGGAGAATTAAAAAAGGGATCAGTGACATGGTCAGCATCCAGGCAGCAACAAGCTGGAACTTTGTCCATTTGAGCCAGGACTTTGGGGGCACAGCCACACTCCTGGCCTCAGCGGACCCAGAGGCGCTGAGCGCCCCACACTGAGCAAGCCAGGTTCACCCCAGCTTTCCCTGTTCACCAAGCTGGGCTGCTGGACACCCCTCAGGTCTGGGTACAGAGACTGAGCTAAAAAATGGGAGCTCCTGGCAATTATTCGGTTTGAACAGCAACAGCATCAATTCTCTGCGAAGACCCAGTTTCCTTCCGATTTAGGATTAGGAGCCGGACCGCACTAGATACTGTAAGAAATTCTCCAGATAAAACATCCATCTTGCCTTTTGGTGAGCGTTGCTAGCTATATCCCAGCTGTAAGTTTTAACTTTAATAAACTTAGGGTACCCTAGTTAAACTTTTTGATGTGTCCTTATCTTTTTGGAGCAATCCTTGTATTGTGGTCCCAGGCTCTGAATCAACCCAAGCAGACCAAAGTTCTGCAAAGCCAGATTTACTGCCTGGCAGCACTTCAGAAAACTGATCTATCAGGGCAGCAAAGCAGATTCAGTACCTGAACTGCGACCCTCAAAGTTCGCTTCAGCAGGTGTGTAATTACAAACCCCACAGACATCTGTGCCAAGTTACAATTGCATTTCCCCCCACCAATCAGGATTCAGAGATTTAGGGGCTTTCTCTATGTGTTCCATCATTGTCAACCGACTAAGAATGTAAGCTTTTCAGTCCAACCAATCAGATTCATGTGTTCTTTCTGTCCTTAGCAACAGCCATAAGGTTTCAGGAGAACTCGAAAGAGCTAAAGATTCATAACGACTATTTCTATGGAGGAGGCAGGTCAGCTCTTGGAAGGTTCCCAGCTCCCCTAGGGCGTGGGAACCTGAACTTGGTTTCATCTTAAAGGTAAAATGGAGTCTGAAGTCAAAATGGCAGCACTTCAGGCAAGGTGCTTTTTCTTGTTCCCAACACGACCTTAGAAACTAATTTTTGACTAAACATTATCAGGTGTCAGCTACAAGTACTGTTTATGGTTCATTACCAAAATACGTGTAGAAACCATACCTTCTCCAACCCCGTTGTGTGATGGTTTTTAGTTTGTTTTTTCACTTTCACAACATAGAAAGCAACTTATTTCTAACATGATAGCTGTTTTCCGTGAAAACACAGGGTGCTCTGTCTCTAAAGAATCAGACACATCCAGAGACATGGGGACCTTTCTGTTTGCCTTCTGATTGAAACTGAAGAATCTCTTGAGCATTGAAGTCCTATTGTGCTAGGTACCTAGAAACTGCTTTTCTTCAAAGAATGGACTTTATATTAGAGACTTCTCCTGAAAAGTGAACTTTTACTAAAAGGTTGGCCTCTAGTTAAAGGATGGAAAGGGTCGACATTTATCTAAATTTGGAATTTTTTTAAAGCTTTTTCAGAAATGCTCAGCTTTTTATTTACAGTTGGGCTTTTTTTTTTTTGAAAGGGTTGACTTTTTATAAAAACTATTGACTTTCATGAAAACAATACCTTTTAATTTGAAAGTTGCCCTTTTTATATAAAGGAATGACTCTTTATGGAAAAACTGACCATTTTTGAAAAAGATACACTTTTTGTTCAGTTTGGGCTTTTATGGACTGGATGAAATCATTGTTAAAAAGATGGCATTTTATGAAAAAAGATAGTTTGTTTAGAACAGACTAGACTTTTATGAAACAGAATGCTTCTTCATAATGAAATTAACTTTTTGTGAAAATGGTGCACTCTTTATTTGAAGGGGGCATTGCATTGAAAGGGTTGACTCTTCATTATAAAGGCTGACATCTTATGAAATGATCGAACATTTCATTTAGATCCAGGAGGCATCGAAATGCATAATGAATTTTTGGGAAATTTTCTGAGTCATTTTAAAAATTATTTTAAGTTTTTCTTTCATGTGTATGGCTGTTTTACGTGTACATGCACTAACATACAAATACATATAGTATACATGCTTTCATGTATATGTATATGTATATGCATACCATGTGTATGCCTGGTACTTGTTGAGGCCCGAAATGGAGTGTTGGATCTCCCTGGAATTGGAGCTAGGGATAGGTAAGAGCCACAATGTGAATGCTGGGAGTTGAACCTGGGTCCTCTCGAGGAGCAGCAAACCCTCCAAACCACTGAGCCTTCTCTCCAGTCTCCCCTTCCCATGATGCTCTTTTATTTTGTTTACTTATTTATTGTATTTTGGGTAAATCCCCCACTCCAGGCAGGTCAGATTCAAGGAAGCCTTAGGCATTCACCAAGCTGGGCAGCTTGGATACCTCAAAGGGCAGAAGCACGGGTTGGGAA